CCCCAAAACCCCAAAACCCCAAAACCCCAATATGGAGGTTAAATCTTGAGATAGTTTAATTATATTACTCTTCTATCTCTTCCTCCGTCTCTTCCTTTATGATCTTAATTCCTGGAGGAAGTAGGGGGTCGTCAGCTTTGAGCTTGACCATTTCTAACAAGTCTTTCTCCATCTCATCCATTGGTTTTGTTTTAGGGAACACATTCACGAATTTACTGTAAGATTCTTTTACTTGAGCCAACTGCAATTCATATTCTGCAAGGGAAATTTAGTCTTCAAATGTGAAATATAATAAGAGTAAACTACAAAATGTACATACAATGCGAAACTGGCTTCAGAACTTACCTTGTAATATCTTCTCTGCAGCTACATCTATTTCATCTCCAGTGATGGTTGAGTCAGAGTCTGTAATATTTCTCTTGATCTTTTCAAATGAGGCTTCTCTTTCAACTTCAAGGAATACAATGATATCAGGAATAATTCCGATCCTTTGAAGGTTCAGCACCTGAGTTTTAGTTCTAGGGAACCCTTCCAAGATCCAATTCTTTCCTTCACTCTCACATTTAAGAATATTGTTCTTAATTATGGATGGAAGATTGGAATCTCAGACAACTCTGAATTGATCAATCTCCTCTTTCACTTCAGCAGGGTTAATACTTCTATTGCTTTCCTTCTTCATAAGCTCTCCTGCAGAAATAGTAGTGAACTCTACTTCTTTGCTAATCCTTCTTGCAAGCATCTTGGCGATACTTCCTGGAGCTCCTATCAAGAATACTCTGATAGGTTCTTTCTTATTGATCCTGTTAATCAAGAAATCAATTGGGGAGTCAGGACGATGAATCAATAATTGCTTTGTTAAGTTCTTGAAAAGAGCTGTTACCTTTTTTTCATCAAGGTACTCTCTAGACTTCTTTACGAATTCATATTTTTGAATTTTGTCCATAGTAATTTTATTTTCAAATTATAATAATTTGCATGGGGTTTTGGGGTTTTGGGGTTTTGGGGTTTTGGGGTTTTGGGGTTTTG